AAGTCCTCTTCACTTTCAGCAAGCAAGGGTGTGTCATCTGTCTATCGAAGGTTGTTAAAAAGTCTTCCTCCAATCCTGATGCCGCGTTCTTCCTCATATAGTCCAGCTTCTCGGATTATTTGCTCAGCATACAGATTGAATAAGTATGGTGAAAGGATACAAAGTGGATGCACACCTTTCTGACTTTAAACCAAGCAGTATCCCCTGTTCTGTTTGAATGACTGCCTCTTGGTCTAGGTACAGGTTCCTTATGAGCCAATTAAGTGTTCTGGAATTCCCATTCTTCACAATGTTATCTATAATTTGTTATGATCCACACAGTCAAATGCCTCTGCATAGTCAATAAAACACAGGTAAACATCTGTCTGGTATTCTCTGCTTTCAGACAAGATCCATCTGACATCAACAATGATATCCCTCGTTCCAAGTCCTCTTCTGAATCTGGCTTGAATTTCTAGCAGTTGCCCAATGATGTACTGCTGCAATCGTTTTTGAATGGTCTTCAGCAAAATTTTACTTGTGTGTGTTATTAATGATATTGTTCGATAATTTCTGAATTCTGTTGGATCACCTTTCTTTGGAATGTGTACAAATATGGGTCTCTTCCAGTCGGTTGGCCAGGTAGCTGTCTACCAAATTTCTTAACATAGATGAGTGAGCACCTCCAGCTTTCCATCCGTTTGTTGAAACATCTCACTTGGTATTCAGTCAATTCCTGGAGCCTTGTGTTTCGCCAATACCTTCAGAGCAGCTTGGGCTTCTTCCTTCAGTACCATTGGTTCTTTATCATATGCTACCTCCTAAAATGGTTGAACGTCAGCTATTTCTTTTTGGTGCAGAGACTCTGTGTATTCCTTCCATCTTCTTTTGATGCTTCCTGCATCATTTAATATTTTCCTCTAGAATCCTTCAAGAAGAGGGTAAATGAGAGGGGTGCAATTGGGAAGAAACATTGTGGGTCTTCAAAGATATTGGTAATATTTTATTTTATAAGGTGGACGTGGATTAAAAAAAGGTAAATATAATATAATAAATAGATAAGGCAAAAATTTTAAACTAAAAGTAAAAACACTGTAAGAAAAAGAACTGCATCTTAAAGATGAATATTTGAATCTTTATCTTGTCACATCTTGGTCAACATCTCCCTTTAAACTATCTTAAACAATTAAAAAAAAAAAAGTTTCCCTTCTCTTTCTCTACTGGTATTGGGTTTAGAAAATGTTAAGTTGCAAACAGCAAAATATATAGTTATTTCTGTAGGATGCAATGCCCACAAGGTATTTATTAAACTCGTTACATCTCAGATGCTTTATGTGTCTTTTTTCATTTAATATCGAGAACAATATCTAACGTATCTTATTTGGAAAAAAAAAACACTGTTTACAGAGACAGATCAACGGCTTAGCTTAGGATGTTGTTGAGAAGAATGAAATAAAACCCCCATTATACCAAAAGAGAAAAGAACTAAATTAATTATAGTAATTTTGTTACCAGACAAAAACATTTCTCTGCTAGAAGCAGGAAGAGAGAATTGTAAATAATCTAAATTAAAAAAAAAATTGAACAAATTCATGTGAAAAACTTGAAGTTATATTATTTAAAAAGAAAGTATTCTTAAAGATGTTGATTTTTCCTCCAAAAGTAACTTAATTATTGAAAAAAAACTCCTAATATTCCCCAATTATTTTCAGAATCAGGTTAAAATTACTCATGTAACATATCACATATCACTGTATTCAGAATGCAAATACTGGGTCAAAACCAATAAAATGCATGTAGTATTCCTAAATCTTGCTGCCTTCTCAAGTAGTATGTTTTCACATTGGCCTTGTGATATTATCAAAGAGTGATAGAAACATGAGCCTTCTTTTGGAATTGGTTAAAATGGACAGATGTAAATTGATTTAAACAAAAATATCTCAGGGTCTCTCAAGAGCTAACCAAAGAAAATTTCATATTTTGTCCTACATTTTGTTTTTTGAAAACTTGTTTCACTTCCACATAGTCAATTTAAAGTATTTAACTGTTTTATGTTAAATCAAATAATTGTAAATTATTAAAAATTGTTTTATGTTCTTTTGACAGTATGAGAGACAAAAACACCTATCATGTTTATAAGTAAAAAACTCTACAAAGTTATAAAATATCAATTTCAATTTATTCAATATTCTACCTTCCACTAGTGAAGTAAAAATGTATGTATCTATTATAGTTTTTGAAGAATATTCAATGAATACAGTATGTATTATATGAAAAAAAATATTGGTTCACACTGCCTTCTGAAAAGTATTCAGGATTTTGCTACTGAAATTGGAAAAAAGCAAAAACTCCTCAAAACAACAAACATTAAACTCAAACTCAATTTCTCCCCATTAATTATCTTGGGCATGGGGTAAAAATTATTTAATTTTCATACTTCCTTATGTGCTCTAATCAAAGAGCAAAACCCATCCCTAGACTCTCCTCCTCTCCCCACAAGACAAGTTAGCAAATTTAGACGCAAAAGAGAAAACCACCGTAATGAATTAAATGTAAAATATTTACAGGACTTAACGCCTGAACTGTATAATGTTGACCAATGACCCAGATAAACTTGGGGCACATGCTTTTCCATCCCAAAAGCTATCTGGATAAAGGAAGGCTCCCAACCTTCATGCTACCTCCCTCAGGACACATCATCCCATCATTGAATAATAGAATACAAACACTGACCTAGTTTAGAAGTGCAGATGAAAACAGGATACATGACAACGGCAAGGAAACCATGGTAACTAGAAGAGAGGACTGTTTTGCTTACTTTATTTTGGTCAGAATAATCAGCAAGCTGAGCCTTTAGCTCTGTAATCTCGGCCTCTAACAGACGGATTACTTCTTCATAGTCCATTTCCATCCCATGCGCCTGCCTCTGTGCAGCTTCGGCAAGATGAATCCGACTTCGTAGGGCTCTTGTTTCTTCAACTACAGCTTTGGCTTCCTGAAGATTATAATGTCATTTTTTAAACAAAAAAAAAACAAAATACTTGAAGTGTTAATTCTAAAAATGCACTCAATATACATATGTTCTTCACTTTGTGGCTTGAAAATTAATATTTCTGTTATTTTATTACATGAAGCCATTGCTTAATATTAATTTTCCTTTATAGATTTCTTGGGTAATTTTCAGTATGGAACCTCTAACTTCACACACCTAGCATAACATTTTGAAAATAAGGAAAGTAGGAGAGAAATGAAAAAGGAAAACAGAAGAATAAGAACTGTTTCAAAGGATAAAAAGAGCAGGCTACTGCAAAACTCAAGTTGGTGGTAGAGCTCATGTTCTAAGAAGGCTCTTGCAGCTTCACCGGATGCTGCTGACAGATTTATAGAGTGTCGTGGGGCTTCTCCGTGGACCAAGCCTCAGGGGCCAAAGCTTTTTCTCGTACACATCAATCTAACTGCTACTCCTCCTTTTTGATTTAAACCAAAATAATTCAACAGTAAAATATATAGCTATTTCTGTGCGACACAATGCCCACAAGGTGTTTATTAAACATGTTGCATCTCAGATGCTTTATGTGTCTTTTATTCTTTTCTTATTTAATCTTTAGAACGACATTGCGGGAAAGGCATTATTAAACACCATTTTACAGAAGAAAACATTCTTTGTTCGTTACATGGGTGGGGAGGAAGGGAGAGGTTATTCACTAACTAGATAGTAGACAAGAATTATCTTAGGTGAAGGGAAGGACAGCACACACTACAGGTGAAGTCAGCACAACTGGACTAAACCAAAGCTAAGAAGTTTCCTGAATACAATGAAATACTTTGAGAGACAGAGTAGCAGGGATGGGGGGCCTGGGGACCACGCTTTCAGGGGACATCTAGGTCAACTGGCATAACAAAGTTTTTTAAGAAAGTGTTCCGCATCCTACTTTGGTGAGTGGTGTCTGGGGTCTTAAAAACTAGTGACCGGCCATCTAAGATGCATCAATTAGTCTCAACCCACCTGGAGTAAAGGAGAATGAAGAACACCACAGACACAAGGAAAGCAGTAGCCCAAGAGACAGAAAGGGCCACATAAACTGGAGACTGCATCAGCTTGAAACCAGAAGAAAGAGCTGGTGCCCGGCTATCACCAATGACCGCCCTGACAGGGAACACAACAGACAGTCCCCGATGGAGCAGGAAAAAGATGGGGTGCAGAACTCAAATTCTGGTAAAAAGACCAGACTTAATGGTCTGACTGAGACGGGAGGAATTCCAGAAAGCATGGCCCCCGGACTGTCAACCTAGAACTAAAACCCTTCCTAAGGCCAACTCTTCAGACAAAGATTATACTGGACTATGGGACATAAAATGATACTTGTGAACAGTGTGCTTCTTAGCTCAAGTAGATACATGAGACTAGATGGGCAGCTCCTGTTCAGAAGTGAGATGGGAAGGCAGAGAGGGGTCAGGAGCTGCTTGAATGGACACAGGAAATCGGGGTGGAAAGGAGGAATGTGCTGTCACAAGTACAGAGAGAGCAATTAGGATCACATAATAATGTATATATTTTTGTATGAGAGACTAACTTGAATTATAAACTTTCACTTAAACTACAACAATAAAATAATAATAATAATAATAATAAAAACCATTTTATACACAAACAGACTCAGAGAGGTCATGCAACCTGTGCAAGGACACAGAGTAGCACCAGAATTTGAATCCAGGTCTGCCTGGCTCCAATACTAAGGTTTTTTTTTTTTTTTTTTTCCCCACCACATTATTCTGCCTCTAAATGACCAAAAAACAAACAAACAAACAAACCACCATACACTAGCTACACCCTCCACCTTAGGAACAGGATAGCGTAGCCAAAACCACTTACTCTTTCAAAATGTGCTTGGCACTGGGTCAAAGACGGTCCCCCAAGACACTGATATAATTTAACATGGCAGGTATTATACTATAAACCATTTCTGTTTTCTTTACTTGATGCAGAAATCTCTCTTGTTTGGAATGGAACTTTCTGCTCCAATTGCCATGGCTAATATTCAACTATGGCTATTTTAATTTTCTTGGAGCTGTTACAGGACACTTGCTCTTGTTGAGCCTAACTACATTTGAAGTACAGGAAAAGGTTAGGAATATCGACATACTCTTAAGGATCAATTTTTCATTCATACATTCAATAAATATTTAAGTGCTTATGTGTCAGGTTCTGTTCCAGGTAGTGGGGATACAGCACTAAACAAAATAGACGAAAAGCCTCTCCCCACCATCAGAACTTACATTCTAGTAGGGGGAGAGAGACAATAAATTACGGAGGGAGTATCTGGGAAGATCTCATTGAAGTGACATTTAATCGGAGATCTGCAGGAGGGATGGAGGCATGAAGATTTCCCAAGGAGAAGCTTTCTGAGTAGAGGAGATAGTTTGTGCAAAGGCCCTGAGGTGGGATTGTGTGCTTTGCATCTTTAGAGAACAACAAGGACGCCAGAGGGGCAGATGTAGAGAGTAGTAGGGGGCAGGAAGAGGGGAGTAGAAGGACATGAAGTCGGAGTGGTAACAGGAAGGAGGGTGAAGGTAGGGTGGAGTGCAGATCTTAAGGGGCTTTCTAGGCCACTGTAAGAACTTTGGCTTTTACTCAGGGTGAGATGGGAAGTCATTGGAGGTTTCTGAGCAGAGGAGTATGATCTGACTTAAATTTTAAGAGGATTACTTTTGTTGCTGCATTGAGAGTAGACTAAAGCGGTGTGCAAGGTGGAAGCAGGGAGAAGAGGAAGGGAGAAGGCAAAACGTGACTGCAGCTTGGACAAGGTGACAGTGGTGGAGGTGGTGTGAAGTGGTTAGATTCTAAATATAGTTTGAAAGTAGAGCTATCGGGATAATTCATCATCATTAACAACATTAACTTAGTAGCTGCTGTGTCCAGAGAACCATATATGTGATAAAAATACAAAGGGTCAACTTAGAAGGTTAGGTATGACTTCGATAAGTGGAGGAGAGGAGGCTACGTCAGACAAAAAGAACAATGTGAACAAAAGGAGAGAGGCAAGAAGAAATGCAGCACATTTGAGAAATGAGATGAGACCAATTTAAATGGAGTACAGCATTCCTACAGGAGAGTAATGGGATAAAAAAGGTTGGAAGGAGGGAGAGAAGAGGTGAGGCTCTGGTAGAAATGACACAACAGACAGAAGAGTTTGTATCTGGGGAAGTCTTGAAGCCTTTTGAGCAGAAAATGGCAGGAAAACACAGTGCTTTAGAAAGCTAAATCTGGCAGAGGGGTGCAACATGGATAGACATGGGCAACCAACTGCCTACTATACCCTTGAAGCAAAGAACTTTATCTCATTGTATCTGAAGGTAATTTTCTTAGAATAAAAGTGCATTTTTAGAAAGAATTACCTGAGGAAAGTAGAGGACATCTACTTAGCCCACCCGTTCAGTCAGCTCAGCCCAGGTGATCAACAGTCACCAGTGTCACAGCCTGGCCAATGTCACATCAGACTGTTGCTGTGCATAAAGGAGACAATGGCTTTCCATGTGCTGGCACTGTCTGAGTGTTTTATACGGATCAGCTCAGCTAATGTCCATGCTGCTGTGTAAGGTATGGCCTATTACTATCCGTATTTTATAGATAGGGAACCGAAGCACAGAAAAGTTAAGTTGCTCAAGATCACAAACCTAGTAAATGGCCAAGTGAGGATTTGAACCCTGGCATTCTAGTTCTAAAGGGCATACTCTTGGCTACTATGTCATAGTGCCTCTCCAATGACAAAAAAATTGTTAAAAAAATCACTTGTAGATTACAGTATCATTTGTGATCAGCCCTGCATGAGCTTAGGATGTGACAATTACAAAGTACTCAAACACATTCAAGGCTGCTACACCATTCCCCATCTTCCATTCAATCAAGCGAGAAAAAAATATATTGCCCCTGAAGAGAAAGAGCAGAGGCAGAGAATTCTCCATAGCTGCAACAAAGAATAACTAATATGATGATTTGTCTCCTTCACACTCACTTCATGCAGCTTTTATTCCCCTATAAAAACAGCACTTTTATTTTTGTTCAAAGAATGCTAGTTAATTAAAGAAGAATCTGGATGGAATTTATATAGCCATTATAGTGCACTGATGGTAATACAGTGTGAAATGCGGTTGGGTGGTAAAAGATGCAGAGGTTTTGATGCTGAATAAATTCAAGCTATTCCTTTTGTAAATGTATAACTGTCAGGCTGGTGAATGTGACCTCTTAGCAAGGTTCTAGCCCAATTCCCACTGAATGGCTGTTTAAAAGATTAGTGCATTGGAATGATGACTCTTAGAGGAAGCAGTAAAGAAAAGACAGCAGCAGTGTGCCGTATTTAGCAATACAAGATCACATAAATCCATTTTTTTCTTTTCCTCCCAGGCTGTATTCCAATAAATAACTGTAAAGCCTCCTATGTCAGTGACAAGTGAGCCAGAATTTTTCCAGTACCTCCCATGAGCTGGAAATCCCACCATGGCAAATGCTGTAGTCAATTCACTGATTTACTGGTATTAGGCAGACTTTAATTCCGTTTAGAAAGTTAGGTAATAAAAGAAAAACCAAGATACAGTAGTAAATTAGAAAAAATGACATACGTATTATGCTTTTTAATGCTAAGCAGTATGATCAAATATGCTAGAAGGGAATGCTGAATTACGAAGTAAAATAGCTGACAAATTTTTTTTGGTGATACTGATGAAATACCTTTAAATTACATGATCCCTTTGTCAAATGGGGATTTTTCCACCTCACAATTTCACAGTGAATCCTCAGGGAAGATCAGACCAAATTCTTCTTTAGAAAAATAATCCAAACAAACAAAAGTGTGTGTGTTACAAATGCTTCACACTTGGCTATGTGATTGTGTTTGGACAATATCTTGTGTATTCTTCCACATAAAGCGCTTTTCCCCCCACAAGGCAACATGATATAGAATTAAAAACATGGGCTTTAGATGAGACAAACCTAGGTCA